CCTCTACCACTGAGCCACCTTCCCAGCCCCTGAAAGTGTCTTTAATTGTAATGCCATGTCTCTCATATCTGGGATTGTACAGCCCAGAACCCTGATTAAAGTAACACAGAGCATTGAGGAATGTAAGAACTATTTGTTATCTATTGTTTCTATCTGGCTAGATAGGCCAGAGCTATATTGTGAAACAGTATTGGTGAACTACTTACTAATAAATGAACCACGACCTTTATTGCAATAGCTTTACTGTAACGGACAGTATAAGAGCTAAGAGCTCCCACCTACTTGAGCCATGCCTGAAGCCCTTAAAAAATTGTTTTAAAATAAATAGCATCTTGCTAATTGTGTGTAGGCTGGCTTTAAACTTGACATCCTACCAACTAGTTTAGATTCTCCAGTTAACTTATAGTAATGAGTTATGCCCAGTGCTAAGGTAGGAACTTTACCACTAAGTATTTGCACTGAGGCAGGCATACAGTTGCCATTTTGTCTGCAGTTTTGCTTTCTGTGGTTTCAGGAACTTAAAGGCAACTGATGCCTGAAAATACTAAGTGGAACCTTTTTAGACATAAGGGGTATGTTTTAAACTGCTTGCTGTTTTGGGAACATGATGGAATTTGATGCCATGCTCCTCTTGCTTGCTTGGGACATGACTTATCTTTTTGTCTAAGCTCATCTCCATTGTATATACTACTTGCTTATTAGTCTCTAGTCCTTTGGGTTATCAGGTCACCAAATTTGGGATGATAGTGCCTGTTTTCAAATTACTTTATTAAATAATAAGTAGTAGTTACATTGGCAATTTGGATATGCAAAAAAAAAGCCATAAAGTCATTGCTTTAAGAGAAAGGGAAAAGGTTTTTAGGTTAATGAGGAAACAGCAAGCAAATTCATATGCCGAGGTTGTCAAAGTCTATGGTAAGAACATATCTCTAGCTATCAAATCATAATGAAGGAAAAAGAAATTGCTATTAGTTTTTTGGTCATACTTCAAACTGAGGGACTTACAACCACAGTAAGTGATTAGTTCAAGATGGACAAGACATTAAATTTATAGTTGGAAAATATGGTTAAAGCATACATGTTCTAATTGCTGGCAATGTCTTGTGCCAGAAAGTTTTTGTCTTTTTGTTTGTCTTTTTTTTTTGGCCTGTATGAAGACCCGAGCAAAGAATCCTCTGGAAAGAATGGCACTAAGCCATTTACTCCAAGTAAAGGGAAGTTATAAAGACTGAAAAATGTTTGGACCAAAAAAAAAAATCCTAGGGAAGCTGTTTGTTAGTAAAAAAAAGTTGCTGCCTCATTTTCAGTGGAGTTAAAATTGGATAAAGAAGAAAGAGCCATTATTTAGCTCTTTTTGAAGAAAATGCCCAATAAATATACCTATACTGATGAACTTACAAAGAAGGCACTAGTGCATAAAACAGAGATATGGATTGACTCATAGTCTGTGGTAAAGCTGCAGGACATGTGATAAAGAGTCCACATACTTTCAAAAACAAAACAAAAAATAGAAAGAGCATAAGCTTTTCAGATGCAGTACCCAAATACTATACTAGTCTCTCTTCTTAGTCCTAATTATGCTTCAGTAGCGGTTAAGTATTTGTAGTTTGACCTATACCAGTAGATACTACATAGTCTTTTGCTATTAGATGCTAAATTCATTGAGGATAGGGAGTTCAGTCAATTGTGTTCCTACCATAGAAAAGAAAAAAATACCTTTTCTTAGGTTCATTGGTGGGACCCTCTATAATAAGAGAATGATCAATAAGAGAAAAGCTGGGGCTGGGAAGGGAGCTCAGTGGTAGAGCGCTTGCCTTGCATACATGAGGCCCTGGGTTCGATTCCTCAGCACCACATAAGCAAAAAGAAAAAAGCTGGAGGTGGCACTTTGGCTCAAGTGGTAGAGTGCTAGCCTTGAGCTGAAGAGCTGAGGGACAGCGTCCAGGCCCAGAGTTCAGGCTCCACGACCGGACCAAAAAAAAAAAAAAGAGAGAGAAAAGCCTACAAAATTATATAAATTTTATGCAACATGAGGGTTTTCATAGGGAAAACCCAAAGAAAGTAAACCTGAGTGTTTTTATGCTAGGTTTGATGGAAAGTGCACGTCTTCTACTTTGCTAGGATAAAGGATATGAGTAGACTGAGGGGAGACTAGCTAGTTCTGTTTGTTCAAATTCCTCACCATGTCATTTTATATTCAGAGAGGGAGGTATAAGGAGGATACCTCTCAAATGTGGGTTTTCTGCACTTTCTTCAGGGGAGAAGTGTGGAAAAGGTCAGAAAATACTTTACACATAAGCTGTTTTTCGAAGATTCATTCAGCTTAAATGTTCAGTCAGATGTCAAGATAGTACATTTGGGGTACTGTGTTCTGACTCCTGTTAATACTGTCTTTACTGTATCTACAACTCTGTTGTCACTCAACAAGTACTCACTAATATTTGAATAATTTTGTTTGCAATTTCTATAAAATGAGATTTGACTCCTAGTTAATAGAGAGGGTCAGGCCTTACACTAACATTGGGTCATTGAGCACATAGGTTTAAATACACAGTATTTAGCAAAACTTTGGGTAATGTGCTGCATTGAAGCACACAATGCTACATGATAACAGGAAATACAGATGGATGACTAACATTCCTGTCTTTGTGCATTTTGTTTGATGAAGTAGAATTAGTTAATACATAATAACAAAAAAGTAGTTAAAGGTGAGCTCTGGGGGCTGACCCAGATTCATTTCCCATGTCTGCTTCTTACTATCTATTCCTTTAAACAGATTGCTTGGTTTCTCTCTCTCTCTCTGCATCAGTTTGTTTATTCTATAAATGAAAATATCTATCATATCACTTCATAAGGTTTTTAAAATCTTAAAATATATAACATTACAATTATGCACAAAACTAAGTTCCTATTTATTGCACAATAATGTTATACGATACATTATACTAATACCAAATTTAGAGTTTAGAAAGATCACCTCTGATTTGTGGGCCAAGCTGTAAAGCTTCACCAGGAAGATGGCATTTAAATGAACCCTAAATAATTGTTATAACTTATATTGTGGCAGGGATAAAGAGAGACAAAGATGAACCATAAACAAAATAAGGGTATTGAGAGAATGTAGAATGTGTCCTGAAAATAGAAATGCCCTCTACTCAATACCTATTTCCACTATACCTTTCCCACCCTTTCTGTGCTGTTATCTGTTGTTTCTCAATCTTTACTGCTGCCTCTAAGAAAGCAGTTGTCTTTCAAATCTTGACTTATTCTGAGTATCCATGCTCTCCCCTCACCCCCATCCCCTCCACTGCATACTTCGTAAGAGTATATTTCATTCATTTGGACTTGGCTCAATCTTTGAATGTTATCCTTGTAGTACATGCTCAAATTATGACAGTAAATGAGTGGTCTTTATTAAAAAGTTACGACTAAGTTTCTAAATACAAATTTTTGAAATGAATCATGTCTGAGACCTTCATGATTGCCCCAATTTGAAAATATTCTTGTCACATATAATCTCAGCCAGAAAATTTGGGATAATGATGATAATTTAGCAAAATAATTCTATTATTAAAAAGTGATCACATGCCCCAAAAGATAGCACCCACCTATTTACATTTTTATCTTTAAACATCACTAATTCTTTTTCTCAAATCTATGACTGAAAACAGTTGTCAGATTAAGTGCCCTAGTTCTCTCACACCTATAGCAAGATTTCTCTCAGGAATATCCCTCACTGGTGGCAGAGATCCCCATCAGGATAAAGTCCCAGTTGCCTGCAGCCATAATTGTCTCCATAATGAATTCCTCATTGACTTCTTTCTTGCCTGACTTCTGTGCTGATTTCCTAGGTTCAATATCCCAACAAACTATTTTGTTTCAGAGTCTATTTTTTGGGAAATATTAAAAAAAGACAGTATGACAAGGATAATTTTAACAGATGAATTTTTTTGTATTTGGAAATGAGAAATTTGTGATTTTAGAGATTGAATCACAAAGATTAGTGTGAAAACTGAAGAAAACAAGATTTATGAAAATAGATTGGGTTGGTTATTTGTATTACATACAGTAGATTCTCAAAACATTTGTCCTTTTTGGCAAAAAAATAAAGTCTAGGCAGCTAGTTCCTATTTGGAGTCCAGAGATGAAATGAATCAGGATAAGTGTTGACATTTGTTTTATACTGCAAAAGGAATTAATAATGGTTAAAGCCCAAAATGCAACCCTCTAGTTTTTATTTTGTTTGGCATATAGTTTAAAGAAACAAAGACAAACAGAAAAACCCTTTTGTTCTTGTTGTTTTAGGTATATATTGTGCATTTTAGTTAAATTCAGACTTTCTTCTTGGTAATATTGAACATGAAAACAGTTCAAGAGCAGAGGGAAGTGGAGGGAGGGTGGGGAGAGCCTGAATTTGTGAGAGAGTGCCCACAACAAAGCACAGGAGACTAGGGTAGCCTAATGTTAATATTTTCTTATTCCTGAAAAAGATTTTCATTTTAAGTAGATATTGAATGTTGTTAGTAATTTTTAAATTTCAGGGTTACTTTGATTAAATAGAAACTAGAATATCTCTACAAATTAGATTCTGTGCTATCTGCTGACTCAGAATTTTATTTTGTTGTTTAAAAATATATTGTAATATAGAATAATACATTGTAATATAAAGTTTCAAGCATTAAAAATCTTAGATACCGGGCTGGGAAGGTAGCTCAGCAGTAGAATGCATGCCTTCAAGCATGAGGCCCTGGGTTGATTCCTCAGCACCACATAAACAGAAAAAGCCAGAAGTGGTGCTGTGGCTCCAGTGGTAGAGCTCTAACCTTGAGCTGAAGAGCTGAGGGACAGCGCCCAGGCCCAGAGTTCAGGCCCCATGACTGGCCAAAAAAAAAAATAATAATAATAAAATAAAAATCTTGGATACCATATTTTATATTAGTAATATGCATTATGTATAAATATTTTTCCTAAAAGTCTCTTTTTTTCCCTTTTCTTTACAGAATGCTGCCTTTTTATATGGTCTTGGTTTGGTCTACTTCCATTACAATGCATTTCAGTGGTAAGTTAACATAATTATTAAGCTAGTAATGTCACTTGTTTCCATGAAGTAGCTTGTTTAGTTTCTTTGTTTTTCTTTTTTTCTGTAGTGTGTATGTGATAAACAGAATATTTTAATATCAGTAATTTTATACTTTTCAATAATATGTTGAAATGACTAGATTGTTCCTTTAAAAATAAAAGTATCCACCCTTTTTAGATGAATTATTTCTATTCTTCAGACTTTGTCAGATGATTTTGATCATAGAGGGCTGAGGTTAGAAAGCTTTTTGGAATTTCTCCATTCTGCATTGAGAAGTGACTTTGATTGATCTCAAGATCTGTGTATAAACTACCTGTGACAAGTTGTTATGTCGAAAATGAACTTTACAACTTTGATGGGGGGGAGGATGGGAAGGGATGGGAAGGGGAAACAAAGGAGGAGGCTACAATGCTTGATAAGAAATGTACTCATTATCTTGCCCATGTAATTGTAACCCCTCTATACAGTATTTTCACAATAAAAAATAAAAATTATTAAAAAATAAACTACCTGTGATGCCTAGATCACTAGTATTTTTACCTTTTCTGACTTCTAGAGAAGACTTACTAAATCCCACCCCCACCCCCTCCACCTCAGTGTGGGCCCTATTATTATGGCCTTTGAGCCATTGTTGTTTTTCTGTTTGCCAGACACAGTGTGCTCTAATAGAACTCAGAATTTAAGTTGGAAGATTGATATTCTGGTTGCAGCCCTGCTACTTAGTTTGATCTTGAATTAAATCCCCCCCGCCAATCTTCTTTTTAGTACATTGCAGTAACATGCTTTTAAAAAAGAGTTCTGATGATCAAAATGAGAAACTATACATTTTATAAATTGTAAAGCCCATTAGGCCTTTAAAAAACTGTATCCAATCTTGTCAGAATCCCTTTTATGCTCTAGAATTCTAAGCTGTGTGCACTTGATAGTCCACAGAAAGATGATGGTGTTTTTTTTTTTTGCCAAATATTTTTCATATGCGTTGGAAGTGATTTGATACAGTTTTACTAAGGATGAAATTTTAGGAAAAGATGGCTTTTCTTTTTTTTTTTTTTTTTTTTTCGGTCGTGGGGCTTGAACTCTGGGCCTGGGCGCTGTCCCTCAGCTCTTCAGCTCAAGGCGAGCACTCTACCACTTGAGCTACAGCACCACTTCCGGTTTTCTGGTGGTTTATTGGAGATAGGAGTCTCATGGTCTCTCCTGCCCCAGCTGGCTTTGAACTGCGATCCTCAGATCTCAGCCTCCTGAGTAGCTAGGATTACAGGCCTGAGCCACCAGTGCCCAGCAAAAGATGGCTTTTCTTATTTGGATTTTTTTCTTCCTTCTGAGCTTTTGATCCTGTTTTCTTTTGATCATATATGGAAAACACGGCATTATTGGAGAACACCTGTGTGCCTAGAAAATATTATAATCATTCAAAACACTTCTATTTTTGGGTAAACTTTACAAAGGTGTGATTGATCTTCATGAAAAAGCTTTGTAATCTTTTTCTTTATTTCTTGCTTTACAGTAATCTCAAGTTTTCTGATTTAATGTATAGTGTATTATATTTCAAACCAAGGATTATTTCTGAAATCGTACAGATTTTTAGAATCCATCTTTGAAGATAGAATTGGAAATTCTAAACTTTTAGAATTAGAAATTATCCCAGAGATAATATCATTTTTTATCCCCTTAATATTAGGTGGGAAAGAGAATAGGTGTATTAAATAATTATAGTATTAAATAATTGCTTAGTGATTTACATTTAGATTCACCAACCATTTTTTTGATTGTGTTCTGTCCCCAAGCTTGAAGATTAGTAGGTGGTTAGCTTTATTTTTTAATTGATATTTAACTGTTTTTTTTTTTTTTTTGGTCGGTCGTGGGGCTTCAACTCTGGGCCTGGGCGCTGTCCCTCAGCTCTTCAGCTCAAAGCGAGCGCTCTACCACTTGAGCTACAGCGCCACTTCCGGTTTTCTGG